GCCCACCTCGGCCTCACAAAGTGCTGAGATTACAGGTGTGAGCCACTGTGCCAGCCTCTAGGTGTTTTAATGTAATCACCAGTTAGAGCCTCAGAAAGGGCACCGCAGTAATTATGGCATTGTCTGCTGTTATTTCAGAGAAGTCTGTGGCCAGATACCTAAGATAACTTGATTCTAAAAAGGAGGTCCTCATTTAAGCTGATATATCTACAGAACTAGCCATTGGATGTAATTCTTTGACCAAGCTGTTTTTAGTATTTTAAGTGGCCATAGCTGCCTAGTTATAAAGACCCAGTGTATTTTACGTATTGCTGTTTTCACTTGAATTTAGGGTTATGATTGGAGCCTGAGAACAGTAGCAATCAAGTTACTAATCTAAACCTCTGTGATTGTTCCCAATAGTAGGCATCCCAAGTAGCCCACTGTAAACCTTTGCAGCCCTACCTAAAATGTATTTTAAAGCAATTTCAGCGGGACTATCCCCATATTCTTCTAGCTTATATGTTAATGATGTTTCAAAAGATTTTAGAACTTAATCTGAGAGTCGGTGTAGGGCAGTAGGAAATTCAGATAGTGAGTTGGTGTGATTACACAGAACATCTGTTTGAATTTTAAAGTGAAGCAGGATTTTACTTTTGGCTTTTCTTCCGTAGTTTGCCTTGTGAGATTAAAATTGCTGATGTTTAAGGAAAGCAGCTGTTGTGGAAAAACTTAGTGGGTTTTTATCAGAGTAAATTTTGAAACAATTTGTGGGTTTTTGAAGTAAGGTTACAGTATATAGTGATTAGACAGCATTTTTACTCCCTCATGAAAACTGTCTAGTCAAAACAAAAGTAGGAAAAACACAGACATAACCCCTTACATCTTATTTATGAAAAGATAACTAGAGGAGATGGAAAAATCAGATTTCTGCTTAAGTATCATTTTTATAAACTGGCTAAGTGCATTTTGAAACAAAATTCACAAGGTCTTTGTGGAATGCCTTTTCCACTTTTTTTGTGCTCACATTATCTGTCAGTAATTTAACGGAGGGCCAATCTCCTAATGCTTTGATCCTTGGTGATCGTGGTTCACCCAAACTAGGGAGGAATTCAGTCTTTTGTTCTTGATTCCATGCTCATTGATCTCCTCCTTTGCCATTCTCAGAAACAATGACAGTATTTTGTTTCCATAGTAATGAAACTGTTTGCTATAATAGGATTCTATAGTGGTAATTTTTCTTTAGCTTTGCTAGTCTTATCCCTAAAGACTGTAGGACTTTGTTGACTTATTTCATCAGCTGTTATTCTTCGTTTTGTTTTTGTTTTTGTTTTTGAGACGAGTCTCTGCTTTGTCGCTCAGGCTGGAGTGCAGTGGCGCTATCTCAGTTCACTGCAACCTCTGCCTCCCAGGTTCAAGCAGTTCTCCTGCTTCAGCCTCCTAGTAACTGGGATTACAGGCGGCTAATTTTTGTATCTTTAATAGAGACGGAGTTTCACCTTGTTGGCCAGGCTGGCCTTGAACTGCTGACATCGTGATCCACCTGCCACAGCCTCCCAAAGTGCTGGGATTGCACGCGTGAGCCACCGTGCCTGTTCTATTCTTTCTTTTTTGTGTTTTAAAGAGCTGACACTCTGTAAAGAAAATGTCAGTTGATAAATATTCACTGGGGCCAGGTGTGGTGGCTCACACCCGTAATCCCAGCACTTTTTGGGGCTGAGGCGGGCATATCACCTGAGATCAGGAGTTTGAGACCAGCATGCCCAACATGGCGAAGCCCCATCTCTACTAAAAATACAAAAATCAGCCAGGCATGGTGGTGCATGCCTCTAATTCCAGCTACTGGGGAGGCTGAGGCACAAGAGTCGCTTGAAGCTGGGAGGCGGAGGTTGCAGTTAGCTGAGATCATGTCATTGCACTACAGCCTGGGTAACAGAGTGAGACTCTGTCTCAAAAAAAAAAAAAAAGAAAGAAAAAGGAAAAAAGAAAAATATTCACTGGGTACCTAGAATAATAAAGTTCAGAGGCTGTAGCTAGGCCTGCTTATGCTTGGGAGTGGCTTGTGAGCAGATGCTGTGTGTCCTAGCAGTATGAGACTGTGCCTGGGGCAGTGCTTCTTCACACACTGGATTGAGGGTTTGTTTGCCTCAGCTTTGCACTTTTTATCTTTTGGGAAAGGGGAAGAAGCTGGGGGTCCCTTGGCAGGGATGTTTGCCCCCAGAAGTACATGAGCCCACCCAGGGGAGCATGAGGAGAGTGGGTCCTCCTTCCTGAATGGCTCTAGAGGCCCATGCCATCCTGCAGTTGCACACACACTGTTGTGTGTGTCCTGAACGCTTTTCCAGGAAGAACATCCCCACCTTTTCTCAGCTTCTCAAGGAAATCTTCTGACCTCAAGAAAAGGCAGCTGTAGTTTGAGAAGAAAAGCCCAGACTTGGAACCTTGAGAAACATCTCCAATTTAAAAAGCAGACATTCCCTGTAGCTAACAAGGAAAGAAAGAAAATTAAGTGAAGGTAGAGCCTGCCTGGAGGGTGGGGACAGGTATGGAACTACTGGCTTGGTCAGACAACTAGTCAAGTTGTTGTAACCAAATCACCACTGAGACAAAGACTAGGCCAAATTACAGGATCTTTATTGCAGGCGGCCACGGAGGACTCTCGTCTCTCTAACCCATGGCCCCGAAAGGAGGATGTCAAGAGCTTTTATGCCCGTAAACCACCTCCTGGGCGGGGGTGAGGGCGAGGGGCTTTGGACATTCCAAGGGCCAGGGGACTTTGGACATTCCGTAAACCACCTCCTTGGTGGGGGTGAGGGTGAGGGGCTTTGGACATTCTGAGTGCCAGGGGACTTTGGACATTCCAGTTGT